CCTGCTCTCACTTAGGACTTCCTTAAAGCTTGAATCTTTTTCACCAGAGAGACTGAGGTTAGAAATTAGAGAGAACAAACAAAACCAAAACGCCAAATCCCTTTTCAAATGATAACAATAGTATATCTGCGGAGGCTGTGAAATCCTCACTGTTACTGATATTATGGCACAGACTAGCCAAACATCCATCTAGGATGATAGCATTACCATTGATACAGTCCTGCAGTTAGGGGATAGGTTAGGCAACTTTGCAGTGGGCATCTCTCCCAGCTGTATTTTTCTGCAACGTACTGGACTAGCACTTTATGATAGAAATAGGTGGATCTAAACCGATGTCTACCAAAAATCCTCCAACTTTTTTTTCAAGTATGTTTCTTTAGAAATTTAATATATTTTTCAAGTTACTGAACTGGAATTTTGAGTTAGGACAACTGAAAACTTAGATAATTTGAGAATGGTAAAAATGGACTATAGCGGTTAGTGCTATTTGAGATTAAATAGGAATGTATATAGGTATCTGGGCATGGATGCATGGGTAAGGTTTTGCAACTTGCATAAAAAATCCTTGTGATTACAAGGTGGGAATATTGTGTTGTTTTTGTTAAACTGTTTTTCCCTTTTAAGGCTTCCTGTCTAAGCAAGCCCTTAATGTACGGAAAGAGGCTAAGATCATCAGTAAGATAGCTGTTTCGCTGAGCTGTTCTGTGAGTGGAACAGGGAACGCTTCTGCCCAGGGAAGTGGTTGAGTCCCCATCCCTGGAAGTATTTAAAAGACATGCAGATGCGGCACTTAGGGACATGGTTTAGTGGGCATGGTGGTGTTGGGTCGACGGTTGGACTCGATGGTCTTAGAGGTCTCTTCCAACCTGAATGATTCTATGATTCTATTTCTGGGAATGGCGGGGTTCCCCGTAGCTCGTCGAACCCGTGAGCCCTCTTTATGGGATTCCCCGTGGAAAAATGCCACGGCGAATTTTCCACACGAGAAAAGTGTCATGACTGTCACAGAGCAGAGTAGGATTCCTGCTTCTCAGAATCGGGTTTCAATCATTAATACCCATGGTTAATTAAAGGGGGGAAAAAAAAAGAGGGGACAGAGGTTTTCACTTAACTAGTAGAAGGGCAATAGCTGGAAAAAAGTACTGAAAACAGCAAGTTTCACAAAGATTCAGAGGGGTGCTGCTGAACACCTCTGGTTTAGCAGCTCGTTTATTTTGGTTGCACCTTTTCAAAAGCGTGCCATCTATTTTGGGATTCCTGACACAAAATTCAGACTGTGGAAATCAGTGGTAGTCGATGGACAGATTTCTATCGATTTCAGTAAAACCAGATTTTTTTTTTTCCCCTCGTTGTTTGGATGCCAGATGTGAAACAGAAAAAAAAAAACATTGGTTTGGGTACTTTTCAGTATTTAAAATGATAGGCTATTTGTCTGCCTGTTAAAAGAAAAAATCACTTGTGTGAATGCATCTTTCATTTTGCCTAGTGGCTGCCTGAGCTTCCAAAATTAATATATATTTGGAAAAAATAGTGCGTTAAGATTGTTTCATAGTGATTTTACAGTTCAGTTTATTTACAACTTACAGAGAATGGCCCCTCTTTTGTCAAGAAGCAGAGGAGTACCAGATCCCTTCTCTTTTAGAGGCACTTTATCACTCTGATGCATACAGGTAGATAAAAATTCTCTTCTTTTTCTTTTCTGTCGTATAACGTCCTTTCATCTGACCCAGCAGCGTTTGTCCTTTGAAAGGAGCACAATTTTCTCCTTTCCTTCTGAAACACAGCCGCTGGAGGATGAGCAATTCCACTATCTTTCGGGCTAGATTTTTTTCCCATCAGTTATTTGGGTACTGGAACAGTAACGGAGTAGTCCTCAGTCGGCTCTCCGGCAACCGAGGAAAAAGGCAACTGACATATGCCCCTCCGTCCAGATATCGAGAATGTTGCAACGCACGCTGAAACCCATTGCACAGAGACACCAGGCCGAGCCAGAGGGAGTCTGATTTATTAGCTTTGGCTCAGCCCTGGCTTTGCCAAGCCCCAGCTGGTTTCTGCAGACCCACTGGAGGATTTGCCAGCACTGCAGATTGTAGGATGGCGTCTCTCTGATGCAGCATCACAGAAAAGGCTTGAGACCAGCTGGACTTTGAATCTAGACAAATTAACATTGAAAATAAGCCGTAACTTTTTGTATATCGATTCATCATTGAACATTTTCTCAGAGACTTATTTCTCCATTGCTGACAACTTTAAGAATAAGATTGGATGCTTTTCTAAAAGATATTTTGCTATGAAGACAGGAATTGGCATTCGGTGTTACTGGAGACCAGGCCTCATAATCGCAGTGACCTTCTCCGGCCTTTTAAAATCCGTGAATCTGCGAACGCTAGTGTTTTCTTCTCTACTGTGCTCATCAGAGAGACGGACAAAATGTTGAAACACAGGCCTTTTGGAAAGTCCACAGAACTGAGACATTTCAACTCCTGAATGCAGACTACTTTAGAAGAGGACCTAGCACGGCCCTTCTCTTCAGTATTTTTCGGAGAGAGCTCTAGCAGTTAGTGGATTCTTTCTTAGGCCACTCACAGGCCATTTAGGCATTTTAAAGTCAACATACATCCGTTATAATCTTCCCAGAAGACGGTGAATCACTGCAGCAGGTTCTGAAATACCAATGCTGTGGGCTGTTTGCACCAGGATTTCCGACCTCCTTTTACTGCCCTAAGAAGTTGTAGGACACGCTAGTGGTAGCAACCAGTATCCCACCGGCGGTGATAAGAGTTCCTAGCTTTTACTGTAGATCTCTGTGAAGAAGAAATCATAACTGTCTTTCCCGCCCTTCCCCATCCCAGAGCAGGAGCCTGACCTCACGTTCCTATACCTGTAGAGTAAGAGGAGGATGCTAGAGGAGCTCTGAAGCGCTGTACGTGTGAGTGACAACCTGTTACACACCCTAGGAGGTTTTAGCTAAGGACTAGTGCTACTCTAACCTAAACCTCTCCACTGCTCTTTGGTGCTTTCCCATCAGGGAGGGTGTCAGCGTCTCCATCACATACACCAAAGGCCTCTACCAAAGTAAAACTACTGTGGATTGGTCCCTAGAGTTCTTTGCTAGATCCTCAGTCGGCTCCATAGGTAATCTTACCAATCTCTGTCTATAGGAGACAGAGAGCAGCAGCTACTCTGTGCTTCCAGCGTTGTTTCACCATTCGGAAACTGCTGTGCAACTCAGGCAGTCGCTGCCAGGAGCTGAGTTTCTTAAACAGACTCAAAATTCAGTTTTGAAACTGTGAACGTAGATAGTTGACCTGAATCTGCCTAGCTTGCTCCCCGAAGTGTCTAGAACCTCTTCATTAAAAAAAAAAAAAAAGAGAGGAAAGAAATCTCCAAATATGATGTCAAGTGGACATGGCTTGGGTTGATCAGCAAGGCTTACATAAATCCATTGGTCAAGGTTTTGTGGATGCTGGAACAGAGGCAAGAAATCATTTTTGTCTCCTGTGTATCTGCAGCATCGCATTTCAGAAATTCTCATCACAGGCGGGCGATGAAAACTCCTGGTCCTTTGCGACCCTCGTGTTGGGTACTAGTGGTAATTGCGAACTCCTTCCACTCCCCGGTAGCTTAAAAGTAACTCATAATAACCATGAATGTGATATACACAGATCCGATGGTGGCTGGAAGTCCTGGCAGCTCTTTTTACAGGTTGACTAGGTGTCGCCCCTGGAAAAAAACGTTCCACAATAATTGTAAATATTCATTTTCTAGATTATGGATCCAAAACAATGAATTGCGCAATGAAGTTTATTTTCCGTGTAGAAGATTAAATATTGTGTCTTGGAGTAAGGAGCTTGAGTTCAGCAAAGACCCCAAAGAAGTAAGGAGCGTCCCGAGTGCTGGGCTTTTATTTCTGGTTTTATCCCATGACTGTATGCTGTAAAGTCATACAGGCCAAGGTCAAGATCCTCTGGTCCGTGTTAGCTTGGTCTAAGCCCCACAAGCCTACACTCTTTTAGATTCTCCTTTCGGTCTTGTGATTGGCGTTCCTGGTCGCTTAGGGAGTCCCTCTCCCCAAGGGTGGGAAGTGTTTTCGTGCAGATTTCAGTGTGACACGGAAACCGGGGCACTTTGCTGGGTCGCAGGCGATACGGGTTCCGCCCCTCTGGGCAAGGAGGACCCAGAAGCCAGATCTCCTGGTTCCTGGGTGGGACCAGCCAGCTTAAGCAGCGCAGAGGCAAGACGGTGTCCTGCAGAAACTTTATAGTCTTTGAAGTCAGCGGAAGGGGAAAAAATGACTTGCTGCTCGAGTCTTTGAATACTTTTAGTCCTTGGTTGGACACCAGCAGCTGAAAGTTGCCTGCAGCCCACTAGAGAAAGGCGAAACGCAGGTGCTGCCTCTGCAGCGTTCACACGCCGATATCGAACTGCTCCACCCTGCAGCTTACTGCTGTAGAGTGGTTGCACAGCTTGCTTGAACTTGCCAAACGACCTTTCTTGTACAGAATGTGCTGCTGTCAGCTCAGATAGTCGAAATTATCTTAGTTGTAGCGGTAGCAGAGACGTTGAGGCGCTGCTTGCGTGCCTTGGCCGCTCCAGTGTCTATCTTCGGGTTTAGCAAAATTCAGTGATAGGAACTGAGCTGATTCAGGACAGCAGAACGTCAGCGCTGGGTTATCAGGGCGGGATTTGGAGAGCCTTAAGGCACTGTATCCCCCCCAGAAGTGAGAATGCATTTTCCAGGATTAAGAACTCATTCCTTAAATGCTTGTGTTATGATGAGTACAATACATCAGTTATTAGGAAAGGCAACGCTTCCACTTTCTTCCGTATCAATTAGAAATAACAACATTTCATTGCATTTTTAGGTGTACTCATGTACAGCTGTGGCTTCCAGTAAATGCTCTATTAATACATGGTGTAATATAAAAGATCTGAAGGGAAAGCAAGACACCAGTGGGGAGAAGACGAAGTATCCCAGAATGATTTCACAGGTGAGAGGGACAAAGCGGAGGAATACGCCTGGAGGATACGACGCATCCTCGGACAGCCTGGTAAACCCCAGCTATTACAAACATTTGGTAAGCCCTCCGAGGAAGAGGGGCATGAGAAGCGGTTTAACAAAGAAAGTAGAAAGTAAAGACTCGGCAAGTCACATCCAGAAATTAATTTCCCTGGTAAAGGAATGGGACGCGGCGAGCTCCAAGAGGTGCGATTTTCGGCACGTGAGAACGTCCGACGGTCGTATCGCAGGGAGTGTATCTCAGTGCAACACTCCTGAAAAGGACCGGGGTGTCAAAGCTCCCATCGCCTCCTCTCCTGGGAGAAGAAGCTTTGCAGTTCAAGGAGAGAGAAGAAGCTTTGCAGTTCAAGGAGACAATCACATCACCCGATACGAAGGCGGGGCCGAAGGAAAGCAGCCGGAGCAACACGTCTTCACACAGAGTTTGCCAGTTGCTCCAAGTGCTGGAACGTACCAGTGTGGCACCGTAAAACCTACTCCCGCAGCAGGAAACGATGCAGAGAACACAAGCAGGGAGCAACCGGAAGGTAAACGACGGCTTTGGGATTGTTGTTTTCAAAAGCGATGGGAGTAATTAACTAAATGACTTGTATAAGTGAGATACTCTGATCATGCTGATGAATTTCGGTGACAGACTCAACCTTTTTCTTGTTCTTCTGCTCGTAGAAAGTTTTCCCGGTGAAGGAAGAGACAAGACCTTGCAAATGAAACTCATCCGTCTAAAAGACAGTGAGTTGATCGCCAGCTGCTAAGCAAGGGCTGGATTTTACTGCTTGTCTATGCAGAGTTTAATACTGAAAAGATTTGCCTGAGTAGCTGTCGTGGTTTAACCCCAGTTGGCAACTGAGCACCACGCAGCCGCTCGCTCACCCCCCCACCAGTGGGATGGGGGAGAGAATCGGAAGGGTAAAAGTGAGAAAACTCGTGGGTTTTCCCGGTGAAGGAAGAGACAAGACCTTGCAAATGAAACTCATCCGTCTAAAAGACAGTGAGTTGATCGCCAGCTGCTAAGCAAGGGCTGGATTTTACTGCTTGTCTATGCAGAGTTTAATACTGAAAAGATTTGCCTGAGTAGCCAAGATATTAAATGCAAACTCAAGACAGCTCAGTGGAAAGTCTCGGTCCAGGACTAGCTCTGGCAGCCTGAGAAGGACGCGGTTTACCCTGTACCGCTTCCGCCGCGGGTAACACGGCAGGTTTTCACAGAATTGTGGGCAAAGCAAAATGTCGTAATGATGATTGTGGATGTTTTTGCCACTATAGCAGCGCAAGCCAGATTATTATTTTCATAGAAAAAAAAAACCAACCCTCTTTCATATCCCGTGAAAGAATCCCGGACTGGATTATGCCGGGGTCCCGTTAAGCAGTACGTAACGGTTACTCTGTCTGAATTTTCCACGCGAAAGAGGGAGGTCGAGAAGACCTGTGCCGTTATACCCAAGGTCGCAAATCGTTTGGCGTAAAGGTTGTCGTTTATGGCCTAGTGATGTCTCAGCCTACCTGGCAAAACATCACGACGGAGTAAAGACAGAACGGGGCATAACTTTAAAGAGAAGGTGACAATACTGTGGTCACACTCACAAATGTGTTTGTCCCGATACCGCCGATCCGGGCTTCGCGCTGTAAAACTCAACCCGTATTCATTCCCAGAAACGAGGGACAGCAAAGAAACCGACGTTGTTCCGGCAGACCGCCGAAATGTGGGATTGATTCTTACCGTTGAACATCCGCCGGTCGTAGGCAGCGATGGCTTTTGTACAGGCGACGAAGAGAGTGTCGTTTACAGCGCTCTGCTGGACGGCAGCCAGCTGGCCACCCCAAACGCTCAAGCACCGTCCGAAGGTAAGGAACCGTAAACAGCTCTAGGATCTTGCTGCAGCGTTTTTTGGTGTGAAAACCGTTCTCCCTGTCACGGTTTGTTGTCAGTTCTGGCTGGCTGAGTCAGCTAGCTAGCCGAGTAGCTAAGGTCATCGCGGCCGAACCGCTGCTGACATTTAATTCTTCAGAACAGCTGGGCAGGGCAGGGGCTGCCTAACCCAGCAGGTGCCTTGAATATTTACCGGTGAAGCTCTTCAATGCATCAGGAAAGGTGCAATGGTCTGAAATCTATATTCAGTTTTTATTCAGGCAAATGCTTACACCGAGCTCAGGGTTGAACACCGGCTGTTAGGACTCCGTTGCAGTAAAACCTTGGACAGGAAAGGCGTTAAAGAAGCCAAAGGCTGGATAACCGAAATGGTGAATGCTGAAACCACAGGCTTTTTTTTTTAATTCCTAATGCATTTGTGTTCTTTCATCTCTTTCTTGCAGATATAGTTTTTGCTAGCTTTGCTCTCTCGCACGAGGAGATATTTTACGCCAGGAAGTGCCACTTTTTCCTGACCGATGTCATCCTGGACTCAGTAAGGCAGAAGGATCCCAAAGAAATCACAGCCAGGGTCGGGACCCTCGTGAACAGGCTTTGGGTGGGTACAAGTTTCTAACAGCCCGGACGAGCCGTGGCTTGCTCAGCTTCCCCAGGCCCTCGGGGGGGAGGTGGGCAGGAGTCCGAAACTTCGGCTCTTCCCCGCCTGGCTGCCGGGGGAGCCGCAGGGGTCACTGCGCCGAGCGGGGGGGGACGGACGGCTTCAGTCGGAGTCCCGAAGGCCAGGAGGGGAGCGTGGGGCTGCTCAGCGCGCGGGGCCGGCCGCAAGGCAGGAGCGGGGCGCAGGAGCCTTTCCAGGTCCCTTTTTTACGGACCCC